AGAAAGTTGCTTCGCTATATTCATGAACATTTTCAAATATATATATATAAAGGCATAGATGCACATATGTAAACATGCATTTGTGCATACAAACTCTAATATCCTCTCAAAGGTTCCTCTGAATTTATGGGACCTACCATTCAACCCAGCTATTCCCTTTTTGGGTATTTTCCCAGAAGATCTAAAAACATCATATCACAGCGATATATGTGCACCTATGTTCATAGCAGCACAATTTGTAATTGCTAAATTGTGGAAGCAACCCAAATGTCTGTCCATCGAGGACTGGATAAGAAAATTGTGGTACTTTTATAGAATGGAATATTACTAGCTATAAAGAAAGAGAAACTCGAGGCTTTTATAGGTAAATGGTCACAACTAGAGACCATCCTCAAAAGTGAAATAAATCAGACCTGCATGTGCAAGCACTGCACTGTCTCACTAGTGTAAAACCTGAAAGAGTTAATTTAAACTTGGAGATATGATAGACATTGTGAAATGATAGGAAAAAGCTCAAGGGTAAAGGGCAACTGGGATGTGGGAAAAGAGAAGGGAAAGAAGGAGAAATTTTGTATGTATGTATATACAGGATAGTTAACATAGTTGATCTACTGTCTTCTATTTCTTTGCTGAAAGAAACTGTTAATGATTCCTTGATTCATCAGTATTGCATGTCTCTGTTTTCATGAGAAACCACTTTGAAGATATCAATATGTAATACAACAAGCATTGTTAATTTCCTAACACTTTGTAACTCTGTATTATTTATACTGTTCTTTTGCTATTTTGTAAAAGGTTGTCTGTCTGTTAATGTTTTCCTCCTTTTATTTTTAAAATAAAATAAAATAAATAAATAAATAAATAAATTTATGGGACTTAGAGAGTCTTTCAGCTTCAACCTCCTGTTTCTTTTAAATTACTTTAATTCAGATGTTATCCAACAATCTCCAACTTGTCTGCATCTTGTTAATACAGTGGTGGATCTCAAACATTTTCATTAACTTCCACCTAAGGAAAATTAAATGAAATGCACATAACAACCCAAAAACTCCACAAAAATAAAAAAAAAAAACACTTTCACACAAAGAAACTGTGAACCTGGCTGAATTTATATCCCAAAAACACAAGGAACTTAAAACTGAATATTAGCTACTTCTGCTCTAAAATAGTCCTTTACTTCAGCTATTTCTATCTCCAAAACAGAGAGGTCCTGCCCTGCTGCATGTTGCACCTTCTACTCTCTGTTCTTGTCTCCCTCTAATCTCCCTCTCATCTCCTTTCATACCCTGATCTTTTGTACTTTTTCTTGGATTTTTCCCTCATCGCTAACATATTGGCTCTTACTTTTTTATCAGTATGGTTCACGTCATTAATTACTTTCTTAAAACCAATTTCCTTCCTAAGAGGAATTTTTGAGCCTGCTATTAAAGGATAATATGAGGCTGGGGATTTAGCTCCGTGGCATAGCACCTGCCTGGCAAGTGCAAGGTCGTGAGTTTGATTCCTGGTACTGGAAAAAAAAACAAAGGAAAACAAAACAAAAAAAAAGCATAATATACTTTTATCCCTACTATAAAATATTTAGCCAAATCGGTGAAAAGGTAATTTTTCAAATTGGTTTTTTACCCTATTCAAAAAGATTTAACAGGGCTAGGGAAATACCTCAGTGTCACAGTCCCTGCCTGGCAAGTGTGAGGTCCTGAGTTCAATTTCTGGTACAAAAAAAAAGAATTAACAGTTACTCTTCCACTATCATCTACTATAAATAAATGTCCCTTCTATAAATCTCAAAGTAACTCAAATCTAAAACTCCCATTAGACCTATGAAAAATTATCTAAAACTCTTGCAGTCTCATTGCAATATATACCCATGCTTACATATTCTGAACTTAATTTTTTAAACAATCAACTGTTACATTTAGCAAATGACTTCAACTCTGACTTCAAAGTAGAGAGTTTGAAAAATGAAAAGGCTTCTATGCTTGCCACATTCTTGAGAAACATTGAAAGGTTCAGCCTTGCCCTTCTTCAAAAAATCCCAGACACAATTAATATGTGCTAATGTTGAATGTTGAAGAATACCAGTGTACATTTTTAAGAAGAAAATGAGAACAAGTTGTAGTTTAAAATCACTTCTTAGGAAACAGGCTGTTCCTGCCCCAGGGGAGGTTCTGCTCCATTCAGGAGAGTCTATGTGCTTGTCAGATGAACAAACCCAGTTCACGTCTTCCTTGTCATGTCCACATTGCCCTATATCTAATAATCTGGACAACTGCTCTGAAGATAACAATATGCAACATAACAACCGTTGTTGATGTCCTATAATCTTGTTTTGAAATTCTGTATTGTTTGTCATTTTTTAATTTTTTATTCTTTAAAATAAAAAAGTAAAGTAAATTTGAAAAGTAATTTCCACACTGGAACAGAACTTTTGAACTCTCTGCCCGACAGGTTATAAGATGCCCAGATGTCTCCGTGTCCTCTTCACATGGAGATGTGCACTGCACAGACCCTCTGAGATATACAAGAAAAGAAAGAGCAGAATATGGCTGTACTAAAGTTTCTACATCTTACATGTTATGAGAAGGGATTTGGAAGAATATGGGTTATAGACCAAGAAGTAGGAAAAGTCAGTTTTGAACTTTAGTAACTATATAAAATAAAAATGGTGATGCCCACCTCTAATTCCAGTTACTCAGAAAGAAGAGGCAGGAAGTTTGCAAGTTCAAGACTAGCCTGGGCAATATAGTGAGACCCTGTCCTGTCTCAAAGTAAGAAGGGCTGGGAATTTAGCTCTGTGGTGGAGCATCTTTGGGCTCCATCCCAGTGCCACAAAAAGAAGAAAAAAATTCAAATTTTTAAGGAAGGTGTATTTGCTAAGTAATGGTTAACTGTATGTAATTTCTTAAATACATTATCATTAGTTGATATTAAAATTATATGTGCTGAGAAAATCATGCTGATGATTTCATCACTGAGGAAAAGATAAGAAATTTCAATTATATGGAAGTATCCTAAAGAGTTTCTTACAAAAATTTGAATTTATGAACTGAATGGTGTTGTGAAGTCAGTATCCAATGATTATATAGATTTGTTGTAATTTTTTATGAAGTACTGTACTGTAACCATTGTTATAGAATATTTAATATTTATCAAATTTAATACTTGTTTAGGCTATAAAAAATTACTCTTTACTCTAAATACACTAAATCAAATAATTTAATCCTAGAAACAGAAGTTTCAGGAAGTATCTGTTAAAATTACAAGTCTGTCAGGTGACATAAGCCAGTGTTGATAACAGAAAGACGGCTAGTCATACAAATAGGATGTCTTGTAATAGATTAACTAAGTAAAACAATACAGTGTCAGTCCCCGACTGGTACAGTAATGCTGTCAAGAGGTTAAAGTTTATGCCAAAGAGCAACTGTGCAGCTCCCGGAAAGTCTCTGTGGAAAAGCATTTTCAAGACTGAAAAGGTAAGTGATACGCAGGATCGGACTGGATTACCTAGTCCGCTCTATTAAAATATCATGCACCTGAATTAGGAGTAAAAAGAAATCAACTGAGTTAGTGCTCTCGGCTAACTAAAGAATGAGTCATGTGAACTGGTGTCGGCTTGCGGGAGCCCCCAAACCAGTGACTTTTACGGGGACACGAGACTCCTTCAAGGTGTTCACGTTAGAATCTGGGAATACTGGGTCGAGCGGTATGAGAAGACAAGAAAAGCCTGGGGTACTTAAAATTGTATAACAGAGTCACAGGCTATAAGCAAAAATAACAAGGCTACTATATTAAAGTGTCTATTTCTAAGTCAGCAGAATGAGAGAGTATAGCGATCGGACAAAACTGTTTAACAATCAGTGAAAATGACTGATGACTGTTACAAGGATTTATGCTCTGTAGAAAAGACTGACTGCACTTTCCATCTTTAAGGGGGGGTAAGCTAACCCAGAGATTCTTCGCCTTTTTCACTGTGCAATGTGTTGGGCTTTACTTGTTTAATGAAAAGTCAACATTTAGCAATGGTCAGCCATGAAGATGATTTATTAATTATTTCATAACAGAAATTACAGGTAATTCTCACTTTCACTTGTCTGGTTGTTTAAAAGCTAGTCTTTGGTAAACAGAAATAGGAATCTTCTTTGCTTTTTTATTCATATGTTGTAGATGCGTTCAGGAGGTCAGATGAGATGAATTTTTGCTGATGGCACTGTGCCCTCAGGGACTAGGAAGGTGGGAAGGCGGAGGACTTTGCTGACATGCTGTTCCTTCCACCATGATGTTCCTACTTCTTTAACCGTGAATAATTTTCAAACGCTTTTGCTGATTCTGTTCCTGAGCTCAGGGAATTCAGTGGTTAGCTCATTGCTGAACCAACTCTCCTACCATACTAATGTATTAACATGCTATATAAATATATTCATTTTATGAACATTAATGTGCTTCATTATATCTGCATGTAATCTGTTTTTTCTCTCATTTTCCTACAATTATTATGTCTTCTTACCTCCCTTATGCATATTTAACTTTCCCCTGCCCTTCCACTGTAAACTGACATTGTTTTCTTTATCTTCTCTCTCTGAGGCATGTCCACAGGCTATGGAGTCAACCAAACATGAATTTAAAATATCTGGAGGGAAAAACTGTCTGTGTTGATCAGACACAGATGTTTTTGCTTGTCATTATTCCCTAAACAATATAATATAATGATTATTCAGGAAGTAATTGCATAGTATTAAGCATTATAAGTAATCCAGAGATCATTTAAAGTATTACAGGGGAAGATACAAGTAGGTTATATGCAACTACTATGCCATTTTATACAAGAACTTGGGCACCTGCAGCTCTTGGTGTCTGCAGGGAGCCCCGGGACAAATCTCCCCCATGGAGTCTGAGGGACAGCTGTACAGAGAATGCTCCAGGCCAGGTAAGAAGCCTTCCATTGAGGGAATAAAGACTCTTAATTTAGTATGCTGTGCTTTTGCTTAGCAACAGCCGTGATGGACACCAACAAGATGGTCATCAACTTGGCGCTTTTTGGCAGAACTCAGAGTGGAAAGAGTTCTGCTGGGAACATTCTCCTGGGAAGTACTGAATTCCACAGCAGCTTTTCTCCCTGTGCTGTCACCAAGAACTGCAGCCTAGGCCGTAGCTGTTACCTGCACAGTTTCATGCGCCGAGCAGGGCAGGAGGTCACCCTACAGGTGCAGGTGCTGGACACTCCTGGTTACCCACACAGCAAGCTGAGCATGGAGCAGGTGAAGCAAGAGCTCAAGAAGGCTCTGAACCATCACTTTGGGAGAGAGGGTCTTCACCTGGCACTGCTGGTCCAGAGAGCAGATGTGCCTTTCTGTGGACAGGAAGCTTCCTACCCAGCCCAGCTCATCCAGGTAACACAAAGAATAAATTACACTGCCAGCATGATTCCCACTGGAGACATTATCTTCAAAGGGAAGGATGTCAAACAATGGTTAAAAGAATAGTTTAAGCCATAAACTGTTAGTCACATATGAGTAATCAGTTAAAAAAAAATCATTGATTTTTTCCATCAAGAGTCATATTTGCAGTTTCCTTGAGAAGAATTCAGTCAGTCATTTTACAATTGGATCATAGAAAAGTTATTGAGATACTAATCTTCACACAGAACTCTGAGCCTCAGTCATCACATAATGACTGCAAACCCGAATAAGTCCATAAAATGTAGTTCCTGGTATGTATCAGGATCACCTGGGCTTCTTGTTAAAAATGCAGATTTACCCAATGGTAACAGTATCTCAAGAGTGGGAACTGTATATTTATATTTTCAAAACTTTCTAATTATTTCTTCAAAATAGTAAGAACTAGAATACTAACTTGCACCCTTTCCTCATCAAAGGGACAATGCACTGTTTGTTCACTGACTTGGTGACTGAATCTTGCACCGAGCCTAAAGCTTGCGGAGATGTGAGAGCCCTGTTTTCACAATGGTACAGTCAAGAAGAAACCAATAGCCAACTCAGAATGAGACAGGGCACGGAGTACCAAAATAGTGTACTGTATGACAGGGGGTTTCCTAAGGCTGAACATCATGGTAAACATTTAGGCCATAATGATACATTATTTATAGGAAATAAACCAGGAATATCAGATGTTTTGCCTACCACTTCACTGCAGCATAGGAAACTACTCCATTCCAGCCATGAGGAATCCAAAGGGACTTCAGATAAAAGATAAATGATATATGCCACCTTTGCCTAGTGGCACATCCTTATTTGCATATTTCTGAATTTACGAGGTGTTACTGAGGTAGGGGTTTAATCAGACCATCTAGAGCAGAAGCTGGGCAAGGGGAAAGGAGCTAGGAGATGGAATGTTGTACTTACTCTTCTTGTATTTAATGTGGAAGCAGTAGGCCTGTAAACACAATTACTGATGATTTCTGGATACTGTTCATTGAGCTGGTCCATTTCATTCACTTTTTCCATTTCTTTGTCTGGGACCATGCAGTTTGAACTGCTGGACTTCATTAATGTCTCAGTCACTTTCCTCAGTGCTGGGAGCTAAGACCAACACATGCAACTTAAAGGAGGAGAGGTTTATTCTGGCTCACAGTTTGTACAGGTTTCCCTCCATAGCTGGTTCCAAGGTAAGACAGTGTGGCTGAGGGTCATGACAGAGAAGTCAGCTATAATACCCATAATCCAGTCACTTTCCAAAAATTCACCTACCAGCAGTGGAGGTATCTCTTCTCCACTGCTGGTGGGAATGCAGACTGGTGAAACCACTGTGGAAATCAGTTTGGAGATTCCTCAGCAAACTAGATTTAGAGCTCCCATTCAACCCAGCTATTTCCCTTCTGAGTATTTTCCCAGAAGATCTGAAAACATCATATCACAGTGCAATTTGTAAATGCTAAATTGTGGAAGCAACCCAAATGTCCATCCACTGAGGATTGGAAAAAAAAATTGTGGTACTTTTATACAATGGAATATTGCTCAGCTATAAAGAAAGATAAACTTGAGGCTTTTATAGGTGAATGGTTACAACTAGAGACCATACTCATAAATGAAATAAATCAGACCTGCATATATAAGCATCATATTGTCTCACTAGTGTAAGACCTGAAAGAGTGAATAAAAACTAGGAGGTATGATAGACATTGTGAAAAGAAAGGAAAATGCTCCAAAGTAAAGGGCAACTGGGGTGTGGGAAAAAAGAAGTGAAAGAAGGGGTAATTATGTAAGTATGTATATACAGGATAGCTAACATAGTTGTACTACTGTCTTCTATTGCTCTACAGAAAGGAACAGTTGATGATTACTTGTTTGATCAATCTTGTATGTTTCTATTTCCTGAGAAACCACTTTGAAGATATCAGTAAGTAATACAACAACCATGGTTAATTTCCTACAAAAAAAAAAGTTCACCTATATCCCAGGAGGCTTCAGGGGACTTCCAGATTTAAACTACAACAACCAGAGTTACTCAGGAGCCTCCCTGGGTCACTGAACTCAGAGAAGCCATGTCCAGTAGAAACTCCACTAGACAGCAGATATGTTCCATGCAAGACGCATTGGTATAAGTGCTTCTGTCCTTTTGTTTCAGTCTCAGGCCACATGGATGTAAGTAGGCCCTCTCACACCCACAAAGACAGCATAGTTGGCTTTAAAGATTTTTTCCTTTAACCACTAAAGACAAAAAGATTATTCTAAATGACATTCATTTTTTTTTTCAGTAATTGTGCACGTTTCTAAAAATGAAAAAAAAAAAAAAAAGCCATATGTGTAATCACAAGGAACTAGCGGAAAAAATTAGGGTGACAAGAGCGTAAAAAACAGTTTCATCATCCAACTCCTGAAAAATCAAGGACAGGCTGCACAAATGTAAAGAAGAAAAGATGATTGCAATTAAGACTTTCTATGGAATCTAAGAAATCCCCTAAACCTTCCCACATTCTTAAAGCCTCCATTTCAAACAGTTTCTGTAGAAATCAAGTGGTGGGAAACCCGTATTCATTACATCAGTATAATTTTAAAATAGTCTTTAAAACTCCTTTAAAGATGTTATTAAATAAACATTGAGTTTGCGCTATAAATGGATGGAATTCAGTAACTTCAGTAAATGCACAACTATTTTTCAAAAGCTATTCTGTCTCTCTTCACATCTCATTATTTTTCCTGATGATGAACGTATGCTGAGCCCAGAAGTGTAGTTTCAATGATGTATATTTTGATACTAGATTTGTCTAGTTTTAGAAGATGGAACAATTTAGCAATCTAATTCTTTACAAAAACTAATTGGCACTTGACTCTGTCTTTTAGAATAGTATCTGCCACACAACCTTGTCGTCTGACAACTGCTTTCCTAAGTAAGTTTCCAATCAGGAGTTGAAGATGAAGAAAAGATGGGCTAGGGCAAAGCTCAGGTCTGGAATAATTTTTTTCTACAATAGAAAACTTCTCTTTCCTATAAATATTCAGCAGACAAGACAGTAATCCTCAGTGTGGTCCATGACCTCTGTGGACCTATTCTTGGTCCCGCCCTCGTGGCTAGTTTCTGGTTCCCAATGCACAGGCTGGCCCTTGATGACTTCTTTCCTGAAGGTGCCGCACACTCTCAAGCAGTGTCTGTCTGAGCTCCCAGATTGATTGGAAGCAGCTGCAGATATCTGAGTCCCGACAGGACCAGCAGCTGTTAGGAAGGACATAGGAGTCTAAGGACCTCAGGGTCCAGGAATATCCTGGATATATTTTTCTTCTTGTCCAATAAAAAATAGAATAGAGCACCTGGTTCTCCCTTTTGCCTTACCCTTTTTGAGTGGTGCTGATTCCCACCATGGAAGGAGTTTGTATGGCCAGTGTTAAACAACTGGACTCTTCTTCCCCCAGCTTCCCTGTTGTCTCTTTATCTCTCCTGGTTTAGGTTGTAATATTTTGCAGAGAGGTTAGAAGCTGCCAGCTGTGACAATGAAACATCTCCCCAAGTGATCACTTTGTCTTTATTAATTACACCACAATGGTGTAATTAATAAGCGAGTCATCTTCCCAAAACTGGAAAGTCAAAGGAATGATGATTCATCTGAATATTATCTGGAATGTTACTTGAATGTTAGAAACAAAATCCATAAATAATGGCTCAGAGAGGATATAATAAAGTCACCTCAAGGAAAGGCTAGCATGCAGGCAGTTTGTTCTAGGAGCTGAACCTAGGCAGCAACTAAAGTCCACACTCTTCCCACTATCCTGGTATTATACATTATTACTATGTCCAAGCTAGCTTCAAGCATGCATTTTTATTTCATAATCAACAACTCAGCTGTGGATATTTCAGGTGAGTATACAGAAGGCTCAGAAAGGCCACTGCAAGGTCTGGACTTAGTTGTTAGATAGAATTTTAGTTAAATACAAGCCTGATATTAGTAAGACTTTCTTGGTTTCAATTCCTCACTTGAAAAGAAGGGACCATTTTATGTACATTTTTAAAGAGCTCTGAGCATTAGGTGTAATAGATATGACATGCTTACCTGGTGCCTACCTTATAGTAGAGCCACAGGAAGTGGTGAAACATTGCCATCACTGCTTTTCTCAGATTGTGATGAGTACCCATTCAAATGATGCATAGACATAGAGGACATGATATGGAAGTTAAAAGCTGGACTTCAAGCTCCTACCTAGCCATTTATTTGCTCATCAAACTGGGGCAAGTGACTTCTCTAGACCACTGGTAAACTGGAAATAATGATAGTGTCTACTTCATTGAATTACGTTTGGGATTAATGGCATAACAGTAGCTTTCTTAACTGAGACACTGGTATATGGCTGATGCACTGTAAATTTTATCTCTAGTCATTATTATTGTTAGTAGTTGTTTATCCTAAAAATTGTATGTATTATATGCAAAATTAAATATCTTTAAATTTACCTGGGTAAGCTTCAGAAGAAAATAAGAATGAAATGCTGTTTACATGGGTCTGATTTATGAATATAAAAAGTAACTTTCTTATTAATTTAGGAAAAACTCCGGGAAAAAAGCCTACCTTCTCCCCAGTGTGAGAAACTGAAAGAGTGAATAAGGTCTAAAATGTACAATAGATATTGTGAGATTGGAAGAAAGTATTCAAAGAGAAATGGGAACTAGGGTGGGGGAGAAAGGAAAGGATGGAAGGGGAAAAAAACAAAAAAGGAAGTCAGTTATAATTAGTGTCTCTTAGTTCATTGACAGGGAAAGTTTGTGCTAATATCGATTGGAGAAAATTTTAATGCCTGTACCTTGTAGTGTGACTAACTACTTTAAAGATAACAATATGCAATCTATTAACTATTGTTATTCGCCTACTATTTTGTTACGAAATTTTGTTTTACTATTTTTCCATAAAATAAAAAAATAATAAAAATTTCACCGGCTCAGTAAG